AAAAAATCAAAAATTGTGATAAAGCACTGGAAAAAAAGCACATTGGATCCAGAGTCCAGACTCTTGAAAACATTGTCAAGAAAAAATACGCTTGATTCAATCAGATTTGGACGGAGTTAAACAGAAAGGAACCAAGCCACATCGGGATCGAACCGAGAAAAAGAGCTTTAAAGTTTGGCTCTTGCATAAGACTCAATGTAAAAGATAAACTTTGGGTTCAATTTCTGCAAAATTTGCTCCAACAAAAACTTTGAATTTTTGGCGATAGATAGTAGAGCAGTGGTTGAGTTCAAAACCACTCATAACTCAATTTTTTCCAAAATGTGGGTTGGTTATTCCTTTCTGCTTAACTCAGTCCATTTAAGCTTAAATCAGGAAAACCCGCTCAAATTATGAGGCTTGGTTCTTGATTTAAGCAAAAATCCGATTGAATCGAGAGTATTTTTTCTTGTCGATGTTTTTAAGAGTCTGGACTCTAGATCCAATGTGTTTTTTTTCCAGTGTAGGGGATCAAAATTTTTCCAGGGAATCTCCCTAGGTTGGAAAAATTTCCCACACTTTTTCATCTCGTCTTTCTAAATTTCGCCCCCCTCCCCCCATTTCACCCCTCCGACTGGGGACAATTGCCCGACTAGAAAAAATGAAGAGTTCGTTTTTGCATGAACTTTATTATCAGGTTCCTACTCCTTTTTTCTTTTCCCCTCCAATCCCGTGACAAATTCTCCGATGTTTTGCGAAACGTTTCATTCCTTGGCGAATTTCGGAATATTCCGATTTTTCCATATCGTCAAAACTGTATATTTCATTCTTTATAACGCAAGATAGAGCTCTTAAACTTTTCACAACCACAAAACCGTTGTTGGAGTTCTCAAAATTGCTAGCAACTCAAAATTCCCCAAAATTTGAGTTTGGTATCGTTTAGCTGCGCACTTATCAATCAAACTCATATCAGCAGAACAAGATAAAAAATTCGATGGATTGCATGGGACAGACGGTGCTCTGTTCTTTCTTAGCTTGATCAAATAGCAAGAAATAGCCGCAATCGTCCGGTCGGCTTGATATTCTCCTCAGAGGAAATCGTATAATTCTTAGGCTCCATCTGGCAGCATGGCGTGGAATCAAACAGTGCACACGGAATCGGCGCAGTGGGATTTATGGGCTATTTTTCGCGCATCCGATCAGATTTTGCCAGATCGCACGCATTATCGAGGAAGAAGACCCGTTTAAACAGACTTTGTTCACTCGATTTGTCGAGGCTGAATTCGGAAAGATGCAATTGCCTCGTGGTTAACATCTCCATGCTACGAGCGAATTAAACGATCCCTACGATGTAATTTGGAGTTGTTCGATGTCCGCTCGTTCTAGAGAACAGGGAAGAGGGGGAGGGTTAGAGGAACGGAAAGCGGAAACCCCTGCCCACTTGCCATTAGAGCCGGGCTACACGGCCAGGTCAGAGAGGGAACCTGGATTCGGTAAACTTGGAGTCAGTGGCGTGGCGTGAATTGCGATGTATCGATTGTTATGCCATTTAAAACTATGGTAAAGAATCGAATATTAAGGTGTTCGCTGCGAACACCCTGTTTATCGATCCCTTTCCATAGGTTTATATGGCATAACAATCGATATATCGCAATTCACGCCACGCCACTGCTTGGAGTGTGAATGGCCTCATCTCTGCTGTATGCTAAGTTTAGGAATTATTAGTGACAAGGATACATCCAATAGATTGAGAAGGAAATAGTTTGGAATTAAAGCAAGGTGTTCACGTAAAAAAAGAGCACGGAGTTAATGGATGATGTGGACATTATGGACAATACCAATTAATAGCGGTAGTACCTCAATAAATTAGGTGTACTCCAAATGTTGCGGTATTACCCCAACTTGAGTGGCGGTAACACTATAAGTGGCATGGAAGTGTCCATTATAATCCAACAAATTGGGGTGACACCACAATTTTAGAGGGTAACCCCTACCACTTTTTTTACGTGTCGTTTGAAGTATAGATTCATCATGACTTGCCTGTAATTTTTAAACTTTTACTTAGTCCTCTCAGTCATTTCCTAGCTCCGAGGAGATTCAGTGGCGATTCTTGAAAGTTGGCAACACTGTTTTTTCTTCATTTCAATTAAATGTATGTGAAATAATCGATTCCTGGTGGGGCAGTGTGCCTCACCTAAAATCGATGTTTTTAATGGATTTAAAGTGAAAAAAACAGTGTTGTCAACTTGCAAAATCGTCACTGAGAAGCTTGGATCCTAGTGATCCATGTTTTCTAACTATCAGCCATCTGCTAGAGTCTTTAATTTCGGTTACCGATGTTTATCGTTCCGTCGTCAAAAACTCGCCACCCTCAGACATTCAACCAGATTTTCGAACTTGCACCGTTTGACATGGAAAAGTTTCGACAGGAACGTTCATATCTTACCCGAGAGCAACGCCTTGACTAGCAACATGCTTTCACGCACCTCGAGTAAGTGGAAAAAGTTTCGCGGGGCCATGCTCGTCAAACTTTCAACATACACTGTCGTCACAGTTCACGGAAAAACACTTTTCTGCTACGGAAATAAGAACCATTCCTTCTTGTTGAGCTTTAGCTTCTTGCTGAACGCAAGAACGAGAGGAAAATATTGTTGACAGAGTTCACTGCAAAAAAAGTCCGGTCGTATGAACCGTAATATAAGTGGAGTCCTCTTTACCGGCATTACTATTTTGGTTTAGGGAGTCGTATCTTTCATGCAACTGAGCTTTTTCTATTGTTCCATCGCAAGTTCGGTCGCATGAACCGAGAGTACAGTTGCAGGAACCGAATAGCACGCACGGCTAATATAGGACTCCGCTCTTATAGTTCACATGACCTAACTTTTTCCTCAGTGTAACCCTGTCCTCGGCCGGCGGCTGACCAATATATCACTATCACGCAGGAAGCTCTCTCCCCGTTTTTCCCCCAAAATGTTGGTCCCCAATGAAAGAACATAACCACATCTTTTCAATGCTGCCAAATTTACCTCATACCTTGCTCATTTAGCAGAAGAATCTTTGTCATTTTTAACTCAAAATTTCACCGATTGTTTTTCCGATCTCATGCAAAAATCAGAAGAATTTTGGACAACAATTCTGGTACATTTTTGTAAGAAATTGATTTGTTTGAGTCAATTTTTTTGCAACCTTGAATGGAGTGATGTTCCTTCGTCCGGAAAACGACAAATAAACGGCCTCACTGTTCGCCAGTACGAATAAGTGGCTCCTCTAAGGAGGACTCACAAGTTTTACCGGCCGTAAACCCGTAAATTACGACACAATTAAAGCGAACAGGAGGGCGCTCGCCGAAAGGTAGACCGGGAGAAAATAATTAAAAAATAAATCAAACTTTCTCCTTGAATAAAATCCAGATGAGGAATTCGACCCGCCCTTGAGCAGGTAGCTCTCGGGGAGCCTTCGACAAGGGTGTGCTGGGGGGTGGACTTAGCGGGGATAAAAATGTCAACGTTTAAGGAGGTCTACGCAGGGGTGCGCGAGTGGATAGCGGAAAAATCCGTTGATGGCTACAAAGTCGTTAAAAGCTGAGCCGGGAGCCGGGCGGGGGTGGAAGGGAACGTCTTAAACTTCCACTCGGTTGCATTCTGACCATCCCTCTCTACCCTCGCGACAAAAACAAGCGGTGCATCCCCCCCCCCCCACGCTCCAACGCGTAAGGGTGCCGCGAGTAACTTCAGCCACGTTGCCAGTTGCGGTTAATTTTTCGCTTTAAAAGCACACCAAACTTTAAGTTACTTTCATAGTCCGTAACTAGGGTGCCTATTTGGGGAGGATACGGACATGTGGAAGTGTGGAGATCTTAGGGTTCAAAAGTGCAGTCAACTTTCCAACATGAAAAACACTAGACAAATACTGCTGCCAATCTTCAGATTTCAATCCAAACCAAGATGGCTAAGATTATGCATAAATTGAGGGGCTTAGAGGACAAGGCGCATAAGTGCAGTTGTTGAAAAAATTTAGGTATTAATGATTTCAAGTAAAGCTGGTGCCCTTTTTTTCCTGGCAGTTTAATATACCGATTTATTTCTTCTTTGATTAAACCGCGGAATCAGCTGATAATAACTCTCTGAACCCTACTTTTAGGGATTTGAGCTCACTCCTAAAAGTTAGCCTTCAATAATTTAAGGTAGGCAATTTGGGCTGCTCAGGAGCAGTAATAAGTAGTGTAGTTGTTTTACCGTACTCATTCGGTTACCAAGCATAGTATCGGTGAATTCATCACGAATGTAAAAAATGTGCGATTTTCACGAATTAATTGGCAACGTCGATGGTGCGAAGACGTAGCAATATAAATTTCTGGTCGGTTATGATCTATTTATTAAAGAGCAGGGGATGATAGCGGAGTCACGGGCGCGAAATTGCCGGACTGTCGCGGAAAATATAATTTTTTACAGGATTCTACGTAAATGAAGGAGCCTTTGCGGCGAGAGTTGATAGCACTGTGGTACTTGGAGTCGCATCCTCTCTGCATTTGGGGCTGCGGCCCTACCATGGCGCGGGGGTGGAGTAGCGACTCCGGTGACATTTTCGACTACTGCTGTTGTAGCGGCGTTGCCGCTTCCTCCTATTCCTCATTTCTCCTATTGTCCTTTCTCCATCTTGAAATCCATCATGAAAAAAAATCTAATGTTATCGCATTACAAACAAAGATGTGGACATGTTTCTCTCCTCACCTATATCATCTATTTTCCTATCAACGATTAGGGCACAGCTTTCTTTGTCCAGCTCCTAAGTATTGCTCGATTGACTTTTGAGGCTTTGTTTACATTTTGAACCAATAGATATCGATACAACCTCACCTTTTTGATGTATCTAATATGATCCATGGAGAATTGACTCACGATCAGTAAATATGACTTCAAGAGAGAGCTAAAACTGTGTTTGAAATCAGGATTTTTTTTAAAAAAAAAGAAAAAAAAAGTGACATTTGTGGTCTAATTTGTTTTCTTTTTTCTCTGTTTCAGCAACGCGGGCGCAACAGAATGACGCGGGTAACGTGGCCCTGTACGTTGGACTGGCGGTGGCGTTCACAGTCTTCGGGTTCGTCGTTGCTTTCGTTCTGAGGCTTCTCAGGAGGAAAGGCAGAGATCACTCTATGTACAACATGGCCAACTCAGGTACGTCAAATTTTGACCCTAAATTAAATCAGTGGCGTGGCGTGCTTGCGATGTATCGATTTTTCTGCCGTTTAAACCTATGGAAAAGAATCAATGAACAGGGTCACCTTAATAATCAATTTTTTACTATAGCTGCAAATGGGGAGTTATTGATAATCGATCATTCACGCCTCGCTACTGAATCAAAAATTTCTTGTATTCAATCGAACATCTTACAATATATTAATCAATTATAATAGGAACGCGTATAACGCCGGAGCCGCGTAGAGCGCTTCGGAGGGTTAATCGAAACAAACACAATGGAAATAGAACAAGGGAAAGGACAGACGTTGATGACGGCGCAGAGATACAACTATTCGTACTTGATGGATGTCCATGTCGTATCTGCAAAATTGAAGGCGCCATGGCGCGACGCGACGCGACGCGTGGACTCGCAATTCTCCGCTCTTTGCTCCCAATGAAGTGTCGCTCAGATTTGAGAGAAAAGATGGTTTCGTCATTCAGAGATTTAATTTTCATTGCAAGCAGGAAAGATCTATTTCCAAATAGTTTCGAAACAAAACGTATGGAATACGAAATATGATGGATTTTAAGACGTTTATTGGTTGGATCTTCCGTGTTACGATAGATTCTGCTAAAGGTCGTCCGACTAGTCCAGAGATAAAAGTCTGAAATCATTGATAACATAAGTTGGTACCGTTCCGTTTTTTATTTTAATTCTACCACATAGAGGGAATTACGTAAAAAAGAATGAGATCAATTTTGCATTGCAGTCTGGATTTTAATTGGTTGGCAGATGAGTGACGCAATTGCTGATGTTGCGTTTCGGCACGTTGATACCTCTTGAAGTTTGAAGTCAAGGAACATGGCAAAATAATCACCCGAGTCTTATTCTCTTCTTTTTGCCCTTGTCGACTTGTCGTGCTCAACCCTCGAGAACTGATGTGCCAAGCAGTTTTTCCCAGCCCGAGAAACGACCCATCAGAAATGGAACTGTCAGATTTGGTGACAATTTCCAGAGAAAGCACCCATCCAAACGGAGAACTCATGAGAGAGATGGTTCAGACAACTGGAAAAAATGTGAATCTTCGGGCAGCGCAAAATTAATATTTTTTCCCTCCTTCTTTCAGAGATTGTCAGAAGCTAATACGTATCACTTTTCTGATCTGCCCTCCAATAATCCCTATTTTTAGAGACTTTTCTCCTACAGTTTAGCCATGGGCGTAGCTTATCCGGTAGAAGTTCTCTGTGAATTGTTCGTGCTAAGCAGGGAAATTATTGGTCACGGATCAGGTCAAATATCAGAAATTGGGATCACATAAAAAAAATACGATATTACTTGAGGAAAATAGAGATAAAAGTGAGAATAATTAGGATTTTCAGTTTGTATAAATCTTATTAACAGGAATCCTCTTGTAGCTAATTTCTTCCACGTTGAGGGCGACCAGTGTTTTTCAACATAGAAATATCAGGTGAATTCTATCAATTGACTGGAACATATCACGATTCCATGATCTGAAAAGTTTTCGGCACTATGTCTATTTTCTTTCAGTTGAAAATAATTGAAATTCTCACCCTTGTCCGACGCGTTAGCGCAAGCGCGGTTTACGATGCGCATTACGCCTTGAAATTTTGACAATTAACTGTTTAAGCGCTTCGATCTCGCAACTCACTCGTTCAAAGCCCGATTCACGGTGGAGGAAGTAGGAAGGGGGTAGGCATTAATTAAGCCCTATTAAAAGCGTACTTAATTTCAGTCCGGAGGCTCTTTAATGACACCCCTTGACGCCTTCACTTCAGTGACTCCTGGCGGCGTAACTATTTGTATTTAAATTTAAAGTGTATTTTCTTGAATCAAGCCGTCGATTATCACCTCAGACCTCAAATGTTGAACAAACAAAATACTGTGATCTCAAATGAAGCCCCTCCCCGCAACGTCCTCTGGAAAGCGCATTGGTTGCTGGTAAAGTTTTCCAGTATTTAGTACAAAGCGAGCAAAGAGCCATGCACAAAAAGGGCCAAAAACGGCCCATTTTTGGGCCCTCGAAATTGGGGTCGAAGTGAGGTTTTTATTCATCCTTAGGGTGACCCTTTACACATACTAAAATTTCAGATTGAGTATACGCACCGTTTTCGAGTTATGGGGGGGCAAAGTCCCCGATTTTCACCCATTTTTGCAGGTGTTTTAATGTCGAACTCCGGCTGTTACGAGGTACCAGATTTAGATATTGAAGCGCGGTTTGCGGTGATTTGTTCACCTATTCCTGTAGTATTTTTCCACATCTTTCACAAAGCCCCAAATGGTTTTTCGGGGGGGCGGGGAGGGGGGCTTTATTCATACTATCATGACCGTTAGCGCATCTTACTGACTTTACTTTGTTCTCTTCTCTCCACGCCGCAGTCACGATGGTATTTTCTGTTGGGGATTTTCCTTCTTCTTCACATTTTACCAATTTTCATGTCCTCCCCCTCTTTTCCCTTTTTACCCCCTCCCCCTCAATCCAAACACTTCCTCTCAAGCGCTTCTTCCTGTAAGGCAGATATGACGGGGTCATATGTGGGGGATTATTTTTCTTTCTTTACGATTGATAAACTTTGACCCAACTTACTTCTCCCTTACATACAGGGCCCTCCTTACCCCTGTATTATCCCTGCCCCCTACCCGCTCCACTTTACTTGAAGTATTTTGCTCCCTCCGCAGCAGAAATGACGATGTTTC